TTAAGGTTCGGAAGAACAAGTTATTTTATACAATGACAGGGAGTTTCATATCTAATCCTAATAAGTATGCAGGCATATGCATTTAAGCACCCATTCATTTCAAGATGCACGAAAAGTCCGATGTAAAAATTTGATTTTTTTTTGGATTTCACATTTTTATATGCATAAATTTATTATAACGGCAGGCATACTCTTCATCCATTTGAGTTTGACCATGGCTAAATCTAGCTCCATAAGGAACCCCGTTTTTAACATTGCTCAGTATTTAGCCACGGTTCAAACTCAAATGGATGTAGGGTATATAGGCATATCTATGTACATAACTTAGCGTTATGATAATGTGTGCATTTTTCTTTTGTCTATCACATGAATACGAATATTATTTCGCTGGTGTATTTAAATACATCCTTGCTGATTTACTGGTTTTTATCAATTGTTTGGAATCAGGAATTTTGGACCGGAAGTGTGACATTTTGTCTGGTTGGGCCAATTACAGGTATGCTTGTCCACGTCGTAAACTAAGTATTGGCTTCCACGGCAGCCGCTCGAATTGGTCAGGTCGCAAGGAGGACAAGAAAAATCAGCGGCTCGGCTATCGATACAAGTAATAAATCTTGTGCAGTCATTCGGGTGGAGATAGAGGCCGTTTTCCTTCCCAGAGCAGTCGTAGTAGTCTACTTTATCATAATTTGGGCGATTGGGGACTCCATTCTTGCCTGGATCTTCATCGAAGGGAGCTGTTGGAAATTAAAATGTATGTACTAAATTTGTATTAGTTAATGAAGAAGAATTAGTGTTATGTGGAGCGAAGGAAATATTAAGGTGAGCCCAGGGTTCGCTACCCCGGGTTTTTGTGGGTTGGGGTTTTTGGGGTTTTTGTGGGTTTTTGGGGTATCAAATCTCCGGAAAAACCCTAATGCTTAATGGGGTTTTTGCGGGTTTTTGTGGGTTTTTGTGGGTTTTTCCGGGGTTTTTGTAGGATTTTGAGGCAGATTGAAACAAAATCCCTTAAACTACAACGTAGATCAATGCTAATTAACTTTTCTGCTTCATCTTGAAATTTTGAGAATTTTCATTTGCGACTTGAATTTCCAAATATCATTGCATATTTCCAGGTTTACATGTCAAACATGAATTTTCGATGTAAAGTCCAAATCAATGATAACGGTTAAAATTGCATGTTAAAATTGTATATAAATTAGTTTATCTCTAATATATAATTTTAGGAATTCTGGTTCAACCTGCCCCAAAATCTACAAAAACCCACAAAAACCCACAAAAACCCAAAAACCCACAAAAACCCCAAAAACCCCGGAAAAACCCCGCGGGTTGGGTTTTCCGAACCCTGGTTGAGCCTCGATGAGTCATTCCCGCCCGTCTAATTCCGTCCAGAAGTGTGTCATACTTGCTTATAGAGAATTTCAAATTAGTATTTCGCCATTAGTATTCCATGAAATTGAAATGTTATTACTTTAAATGTTCTCCATAAGGAAACATGACATCTGGGACGGAATGAGACGGGCGTCTTATTGAGGCTCACTTTAAGATGCTACACTCAAATACAGGATGATACGTCGATGCGCCATTATTTTTCGTCTCGCTGTACCCAAAGTTGGGGACTTTAATTTGAAATGTCTAGAATCAATTCAATTTCGTGAACTTTGAGTTTCATAAATGCAACTTTTGTGGCTTAAATGTACGATCGTGCTTACGCAAACTTGCTAAAGATGGTAAATAAATGAGCGTATTTTGATCTGTGTTGGATTCGTAGTATCAAAAATTAGCGTTACACTTCGAAATTCCGCATTTACCTAAAAACCCCTTGATTAGAAATATTCATATAAAGGCAGTGACCAAGGGTTAAAGATATTACAGAAATTTCAAACGCAATTAGGAAGTTAAATATTTAAATATTAGATTAACACGTATTGCATACCAGCGATAACGGCACCGACAGCTAAAATCAAACCGGCCAAGTTTTTCATAATGAAACAGGTTATGGTCGATTAGGATCAGTTGAGTTTGAGTAAATCGCCTCTTAGAATGATTTCGATGCAATTAATGAGTCCCATTTTATACCATCGCCAATTAGTGGGAGATATGTACATACATATGTAAATACGTATGCATATCGCACCTTACAAATATCGGTACACCCGTAAAAGTTCACCAAAACCCATCAGGTCGAACCCTCATGTGTTACATAAATCAATAATTCACCTGTTAAATTGCACACGACCTATTTATTTACTGCATTCCAGCATTGATCATGCAAACTTCGGCAATCGTTCACACGAACGTATTGAACTGATGGTGAGTATCCAGGTACGATAAGCAAGTGCCAACCTTATTTTAATTAAATGACACAGTTCCATAACTGCCCTAGATAAGGGCATAGCTACAAATGTCACGCAGAAGGGGTGGGAAATGAGCTTGTGTTAAACAAATATGACCGATTTATGGTTATCTTCATTCTTTAACTATGTACTGTGCAGATGAGACAAAGATATTTGTTTATTTCGCACCCCAGGTGACGTAAAATAATGCACAATTAGGTCATCGTTTATCGAAATTTTTGCATTAATGAAATCCTGGCGCTTGAAGGCTTGTAACGTTACATTCAATGACAGGGACTCCACTTAATCAAATATAATGCGCACTCCCCAAAAAATGTATCATATTGAATCATATTACACTTGCAAATTTTTTCGCCTTATTTTCTCCACTTATCGGGGATCCCGGTATCCAGAAAATGTGTCACATTAAATTCCACCCCATTTTCTAATCTCATTCAATTGATAAAACCCTTTTTCGTTGAAATTCATGTTCTTAATCTACACAGTAGCCTAAGAATCAAGATTACCATAAATCGGTCATATTTATTTAACACAAATAAATTTCGCATTTGTTGTTCATGACATTTTTATTTATAGCCTTATCTCCTGCACTTATGGAGGAATGTGTCATTTAATTAAAATGAGGTTGACACTCGCTTATCGTTCTCAATTCAATTTACTTATTCGTCTGATCGATTGCCGAGGCTTGCATTATCCTGTAAATAAATAGGTCGTATGTACATAGGTACATATGTATGCAATTTAAAAGATGCATTATTGATTTAACCCAAATAATTACGTCAGGGTTCGGCTTGATGGGTTTTGCTGATCTATGGCACGTGCACCGATATTTGTAAGGCATAGGATAAGCACACTCATGTACATATCTCCAATTATTTAGCAATGGTATAAAATGCGACTCATTTCTTGGAATCGAAATCATTCGAAGAACCGTTTCCTTAAAGTTAACTGATCCCTTATTGAGGTTAACCTGCTTCATCATGAAAAACTTGGCCGTCCTAATCCTAGCTGTCGGTGCAGTTATTGCTGGTATACTATTTATTTTTTCAATTATATTATAATTAAGGTGCTTAATTGAACTGACTCCCAACATTACGTCAATATATGTACACGAAAATTTCTAAAGCGGCATCAATTTCAAGAATACTAAATGCGCCTTTTGCTAAATACGTCAGTATCAAGTTAATTGTTGGTAATACGAAACCAACTATTGCAATTATTGGAATTTTTTAAATTTCTTCTTTTTTCATTTTTTTACTTGCTCATTTGCATAGATATCTAAATCTTTTCCCCGAAACCAATTAACCACATATTTTCAAGCTCATGGTTTCGTAGTCCCATACTTTAATTTATATTTAGATAAGTCATAAAAATCGAATTTATCTCAAAACTAAATAATGAACTTGAATCGATTTTCGAAACTCCCAAAATTGGGATACAGTTAGATCAAAAACAATGACGCTTGAAGACCACATTAAATATTTATCACCTTAATATTTTCATCATACGTATTCCTTCTAAGGAGGAGAGTACGCCAACCTGATAATGACAGATCTTGATGTCCTTTGGATATATGGTAGTACCCCCTCTGAAAGTAAAAAGTGTGAAGCGGTTTGATGCCATGGCCAAATTTACGTCCGTCACACCCCTTTGAAGGCGCGCCCGATGCCAAACTAGCTGCACTAAAAAATTCGCCAAAAATCCAATTTTGTTCGGATTTTCATAATAATTATATATTTGTGATCCCAGATAGTCCCCTTATCATATTCAGTTGCAAAATTAACTTTTCAGAAATTTTCAATATTTTCGAATATTTCCTGAAAAGGGCATGGCTTGAAAAAATTCAAAATACCAAAATAGTTCAGATTGATATCTGATATGACAAAGCAACTATTTGGGATCATAAATATGTAACTATTATGAAAATCCGAAGAAAATTGGATTTTTGGCGAATTTTTTAGTGCAGCTAGTTTGGCATCGGGCGCGCCTTCAAAGGGGTGTGACGGGCGTAAATTGGGCCATGGCATCAAACCGCTTCACACTTTTTACTTTCAGAGGGGGTACTACCATATATCCAAAGGACATCAAGATCTGTCATTATCATTTTGGCGTACTCTCCTCCTAAGCAATTAACTCCTACAAATCAAATAATTCCTAATTTTTATAGCCCCCTTCGATGAAGACCTGGACGAGAGTGCGGTGCCTCGTCGCCCCAATTTTGATAACGTGAAATACTACGACTGCTCTGCGAAAGAAAACGGCAACTATCTCCATCCAAATGACTGCACGAGATTTATTACATGTAGTAATGGCCGCGCTTCGGATATGGCATGCCCAGATTGCGATGTGAACAATATAAAAGGTTGCCAAGGAAATCCATATCTAGTTTACGATGTGAAAAACGACACTTGTGATTGGCCCAACGTGACCCCGTGTCACAATTCCAGTTCAACGACGGCAGTCCCAATTCCTGATCCCAGCCCTCCCCCAACGGAAGCTCCCACCCATCCCCCAACGGAAACTCCCACCCATCCTCCGACGGAAGCCTCCACCGATCCCCCAGCGCCTGGTGATTGCAAATACGCCGAAGGCGATCCCTGTAACCCGAACGACTGTGACCAATGCGACTACTGTGTCAACAAGAAGTCTTTTTACTACCGCTGTGCCCGAGTTGAGCCTGAAAACCCGCTCAAGCCGGCGACTGGAACTTGGGTCTTGGAACAGTGTGCCGAGGGTGATTTTGTCGACGATGCCAACCCTTTAGCAGCTAAACTAACCGGAGGACAATGCACGCCATGGGATTTCCTTCACGAAGCGACAAAGGAAAAGTACAAAAACGACAAAAATTGCATTCCTGACAGGGAAAAGTGTGAATATGGACAGAACGCTGATCAAATCTGCGGCCCGAATTATTGGTTTAAGGAGACCACAAAGTCACCAAAGGATGAAAGGTCGTGCCCCACTGGAAATATTTGGGATCAGCAAAGACAAAATTGTAAACCATGCAAACAAGTGGATTCCTGCAAGGATCATGCCACCTGTATTTAATAATTAATTGTATATTGAAAATTTTCTATCTATTAAAAATTATGCGAAAATAAATTGACGCAGTTTTATTCATTTTCATTTCAGTAATTCGAGAACAGGCTGTTTTACTATTATGTTTGCTATTATTCATCTATCAGGCAGTGTGACAAAGGACTATTTTCTCTAAGAGGATACATACATAAAATTTTATTCGATAACATGATCATTTTAACAATTCTTCAAACTAAGGCTTCGATTATTAACTCTTGCAATTCTTTATTCCAGTGTCAGCTCGTTACATACTGGTTTACAAACTAGATATTAAACATGTACAATTATGTCCATAAATAATTACAAAAAGTACTTTTGTAAATTTTTTAATGGGCATTGGTATAATGAATGTATAATTAGTTTTCAAAATTCCCAGAAACATATAGGTACATAATTCAGAGTAATGTCTTTACATAAATACCTCACACATTGAATTTTTAGTTTTATTTATAGCTGAAAATAGTAGAAACTTGATTATAAAGATAACAAAGCAGGCTTAAATAATAATTTCGAAATAAAGTAATTTTTACAACGAAAAATATATGAATTAAGTCTTAGATACAAATCGCAAATAATTTGCACGCTTAGGAGCTTCGCAAGAGACATTTTGTTTGATCACATTTTAAGATAAAACGTGTTTAAAAAATTAAGGAGAGGTGTTACCAAAATTTGACAAAGTTCATGTTTACATGGGTAGTTCGGGAGGTCTTCCATCTAAGCAAGAAAAGTACTTGATTATCTGCAGTAACTAAGGACACAAATTGCGTACTTTTTAACCATTGTTTCTCTTGATTACGTGTATGCGGTATGTGGTTAAGATGCCCTTATGTATGTACGTGGAACACGATTACGTGGAAATAAATACTTATTTATGTAGAGAGCAGGGCCGTAGGAGCACTGGTTTTAGGTGGAGAGCACTCTCCAGGCCGGACGGCCCGAAGGGCTGTACCGGTACCTGTGATGCAGAAACTAGATATAATGGACATTTCGAAGTATAGGTCATATAACTTATACATAACGTTCCCAACCAAGGTTACATACTTAAACAAAGAATATCGGTAACTTGATTTTGTTTTACTTCCGAAAAGTTTAGATTACCTCCAGTGGGATACAATATTCAAATTTAAGCTCTCTGGAACGATATCTGTAAATCGGTTGAGGTAGCATAATATAGTCCTCTCAGTTGAAAAATTTTCAAAGTTTACTTAATAACCCAAGCAAACAATTTTTCAAATATGATTGTGAAGGCAGTGACCCAATCAATCGAGCCTTAATAAGTTCACGAAACTATGTGTCTGTGTGGCCCGATCATGCAAAATTTCAGTATCTAAATATTTCGAATATTGTGCATTAAACACTTAGCCCCTACCACTAAATACATGATCCTACTCAGTGCCGTATCTGTCACCAAATATTTTTTGGTCTAACCGACCTTCGAAGTCTTTCATAACAATTCCAGATACATATTTTTCTCTAATTATGTCAAAATCTTTGAATGCGTTCTAACATTTCCGCGCGAACAAATTGAGACTCATGCGTCATTTTTCTCTAGGAGCTGTAATGCACGAAAGTGGGGTGTGATAAATGCGAATCCGCATCAATCTTGACAAAAAATAGGCAAGTACACATTGGGTTTTAATTTCAACAATAACCAAAATTGTCTTAATGCAACTTATTCGATAGTTTATGTTTCGTGGAATTTGTCAATCAAGTCTCATATCTATCGTTTGCAGCATTCGAAATTGGGAGATTATGACAAATCGGTTTGTACTTGATCGGATGTTTGGCAAATTTTAGAAGCGCGGTTTTCAATTCTTTGCAGAACGGTGTTAAACTGTTTTTTAAAACTCTTGTATTAGTTAGAATTTAAAAAAGTTTGCAAATACATATAGTAACAAACTATAATTTAATCCTAAATTAAATGCAACTCGAGAATTTCGGAATTCCAAGTTTGTGCATATCAGAAAGTAAGAATATTCGTAGTTAGATAAAGCTACAATTTTCAAAAAATATGGTGAAAGTCTGAGATCAGAATTTTTGATCCCATCCCTTAAAAACACTTAAATTTTGTCCACTAAGCGTATGGTTCAATATCTGCAGATATTTGTTTCTATATATTGTCTATATCTGTATTTTGGTATAAAATAATTGCACCAAGGTTTCCACATATCAGAATCCTTAAATTGAGTTAAGCCGACCATACAAAACTAAAACGAGCAAGGAAAACACTTGCAAATTTCATACTAATTATATTTGACGCTAGTCTGGTCAAAATCTGTGAGCATACGTTGGAAGACCTCCATTGTTAGTGTTGGGATCAGAGGTTAAAAATTGTCATCTTTGAGATTGACAATATTTTTTTCCAAAATTGTGCTTACCTATCACCATAAATATTCTAGGCTTCACCAATGTATTCAAAAATTTACGATTCATTCAAAACCTGGTTGTGCAATGTGCGTATACGATCTATTCAGGGTTTAGCTTTTCTCCACGACAGGTGGGATAAAGTGGTTTTTACGGTGGGAAACATGTGGTGCAGTTACCGGTATAAAAGCATATGAAATAATCAGAAGCCCGTTGAATGCATGCCTGACTAATTTTTAGCACATAAATCACTATATACTTGTAACCGAAAAGAAATAAGCGAAATAAATCGGCTAAGTAAATTTTAGTAATTTTTCACGTAAAAGGCCAGACAAGAGTCTAACTCTCCAGGCCGGACCAAGGACAGATACGGCACTGGTAGAGAGAGAGGAAATATTTTAGTGGAGATCCATATCATTGATTCAGAGAAATTTACGAAATGATTCACAATATTTGCTTTTGGGCTTAAAATTGAAATTTAGTCGGAATACCAATTATTTGTTTCTTTATCAAGGCCGATACGAGTTAGAGTTTCCAGTCAAATGTGTTTTAAATACATAACTGATGGAAAAATTTTGAGGAAGTTTCCTTAAATAATTTACGAGCATTTAGACATGTATGTTGACTCAATTGAATTCTCCGAATCGAATTACTGACTACTTATATTTATAAAAATGTATAAAGTGTGACCATACCATACGTGTACAAATGTATTGGCAAATTAACATTAGCTATGTACATATTTATTTAAATACTTACATACATTCATATTTCTTCGTTCAAACAACCAACGGTAATATTGACTTCCCGCTACGATTTACACAAGAATTAAATAAACAAATGCAAAATAATTACGTATTTAGGCACACACTTATACTACAGGACATGGGCGGTTAAAAATTGAAAGACTTGGATTTTAACTCTCTTGAACATTTAAATTGCTGCTTTAAATATACACTTAGCCAACCATAGACGTAGACTATATTACCTTCCCGATTTCAAAGCATTTGAAATTCGTGTCACCAAATGCCTACAAACTTACCGATGTATCCGATTGATCAACAAAACCCTCAACAATGCGACGCAAGGACAACTTGTCCCCGCCATGATTGGTGTCGTTCCACAAATTCAAATTTTCACACAATTCGTTTCCATCAAGTTGTATTCTAAGATTCCGCTGCCTAGTTTCATAATCTTTCCACTTCTTGTAGTCGACTCACAAGGGAACATACCGAGGTGTCCAACGAGTTAAGGGTCGACACCTATACCAAAATGAGCACAATACATGACTTGTTAAACAAACTGAAGGAATTTCCGTGTAAAATTCACTTTTTGTCAAGTTGTGACGATATTTGGGACGAGCGCATGACCATCGGGTTGCCAGCGGGAGAGGTCGGCCGCTGAACGATCAGGTCGACCACAGAGAAGCGTTGTCCTCATCAGAGATTTCAAATTCTTTCAAATTTTGAAAACACCTTAAAATTTTGAAAAATTTTTTAGAAAATTTTGAAATTTTGAGAACATTTTGAAATTTTGAAATTTTGAGAAAATTTTGAAATTTTGAGAAAATTTTGAAATTTTGAAGAAATTTTTGCAATTTTGAAGAAATTTTTGAAATTTTGAAGAAATTTTTGAAATTTTGAAGAAATTTTTGAAATTTTGAAGAAATTTTTGAAATTTTGAAGAAATTTCAAATTTTTTTCAAAATTTCAAGATGTTTTCAAAATTTGTAAGAATTTGAAATCTCTGATGACGACGTGAAGACGACGAAGACGACGACGCTTCTCTGTGTTCGATCTGATCGTTCAGCGGCTGACCTCTCCCGCTGGCAACCCGATGGTCATGCGCTCGTCACAAATATCGTCACAACTTGAGGAAAAGTGAATTTTACACGGAAATTCCTTCAGTTTGTTTAACAAGTCATGTATTGTGGTCATTTTGGTATAGGTGTCGACCCTTAACTCGTTGGACACCTCGGTATGTTCCCTTGTCAGTGATAATGAACTTGGTCATTGAAAGTATGGCGGCGAAAGTGAATACAAACTCGGCCAAGTTGTTGTCCGGCCTTAATCGCGAGTTGAAACGACTCCCAATAAAATCCTCGTGTAGGAAGGAATTTAGGGCTTGTACCGCAACCAAGATTCAATTTGGACAGAATTTTGTGGATAAGGGTACTCCTCTCGTAATTGAAGATTTCTGCATCAATCAAACCGTTTCCTTACTGCTGTTGACTTAGGATCTTAAGTGCTGATCAGAAAAACAAGTAGTGTGCAGTATGTTGCTTCACAATATGAAATAGTATGAGTACAAATGTTTGTGTTGCCAATTAAGTAAAAAATTAAGAGGAAAACAATTTTCCGGATGGTATTGACTAATTTAATTTACTGTACAGCCTAGCTGGAAAACAATAATGCTAATTGCTATTGATATTCTAACGTGGTAAACCCTAATACATAAATACGGAAAATTTGACCCTCAGTGAGGAAATGCATGTACACTTTAATAGAGCTTGGCAAAATTTATCCAAAGTTAAGGAAAACAGAGGACACAACAATTTTTGAGCCATCCACGTTTTACTCAATCTTGAGTAAATGTGACGCAACTTCATTGAGAATGCATAAACCCTAAGACATGCATTTATATATGTATATATTGAGCATTTCTATGTTTGCAGCACGACAACGAAAAGTGTTAGAAGAGTCATCAGCATCTAAATAAATCAGAACATAATCGTCATATGTATGTACACCACAAGTGCAGTGCACAAACATCAAATAATCCGTAATATCCACTTGATTAACTTACATTTGCCAAAAAATTATTGTTAATGACAAACTTGGTTGAACCCCCAATTCCCACCGGGTTCCTATCCAAATCCGCTAAAAGGCGGGTACGCTCATCCAGTGAAAACAGATTCTCGTTTTCTCCACGTAATATAAATTCTCGAAACTTTTCTACCTTCAATGAAGAAAAAAGATATTACAAAATACCGGAGCCGTTATGCTTTAAAATCTCACTTTACCTCTTCGCAAATTTTTGGCGCAACTCCAAACACT